CCCGGAGCTAGAAGTCGAGGTCGTCCTAGTATGGTGCTTTTGTGATTAAAACTCACTGTGCATTTGCATCCACATGTACTTTTGCGTGACACTTCTCATTTTTTGCTCTAAGAGGAAACGATGAGAACTGAGTGCTGCGCAAGTCAGCATTTAGGTAATATATTGCTTGATGAGCAGCGTGTGTATGCATATTGTCTCCGCTTAAATGCCTTTCAGTTTTTGTGTTTGTTTAATTAATCATTCTTATTGTAATATGTGCAATGATCATTTTAATAACCGCTAGCAGTACTGCCATGGCCGATGCTCTGTAACGGGGCAGCACCTCAAGTTGTTCTGAGAAGATGGAATCTGGGGTGGCAAGCTAACGTTCCAGTTCCACGCGCCACTGATTCCCTTTGCACCCAGTGAAGAACTCATTCACTTTTTGTAGCCTTATTTGTGTGTACCATTTGTAGAACGTTGAATGGCATTTTTTGTTCCAGTTTATTTTCTCCTTAAAAAGGAATGGTTTTAATTTGAAACTCCTTTATCCGTTTTTTTGTCTGTTCGTGGGAGGTTGCCAATCGCCCATAAGTACAAAGGTAGAAATTTGTTCGCAGCTGTGATTATTTGTGCTCTAAATGCTTGCACCGCCATTTCCACATTTGCTTCCAGGTGATAACTGTTGCCGATGCGTTTTCACGCAGTTTTTTCTCTGTTTTCTACATGTTTGGGCTTTGAGTTTCCTAGCTAATGAAAGTTTGCTGAAGCGGGTTCGTACCAAAGAATTGTTTAGAAATGCGCTGCAGCACCATTTGCTTCCGGCTACCTAACTGGTTCTGACTGCTTTTTGGCGAACTCGTCCGCTTACTTGACTTGATTTTACACCACTTCGTTTGATTAGTCGTCCAGGATGCGGTTTTTTGGCCTTTCTTCAGACGCTGTGGGCGTAAAAGGAATTGACCATCTGGGTACTCTCTCATCAACAGACTAATTGAGCTGCCTTTTCTCAGTCAGCCTCCTAGAAAGAATTACAAACGGTTGGTTCTCCCAGGAGAAGTTACAAGCGATTGGGAGGTTTTTGAGAGTTTTTTGCCATTCTCTGTATATATGATGCAAGTGGATCGATTGGCGTATTCACTGTTTGCTCTTGTTTCCTTGTCGATTACAAGCCTTTGGTCGTATAATTGCCGTGTTGTAACGTCTACGGATCAGTAAACGAAAAATCACTGTTTGCATTTGTGCATGAAAGAAGGTAGATGTTGCGCTTGCAAAAATTCTTTTACTTTGCTAGCAGGACGAACAGTGCAATGCCACAGCTTTCTTTTACTCAAGACTGGTAATGCAATCAAAATGCTCGTTCCCAAGTGCTCGATTGCATGGCTCCGTACAGTTTGCTGTAACAGCTGTTGCTCGAATTCGATGCAAACGATGTTCCCTGATATATTCTTCCGCCTCTGCATATTTTTCGAAAACTGACTTTAGGAGGGACTTCGATGATTATTACATAAGTCGAAGCAATCCCACAACGCAAACAAAACTTGAGGGGATTGAGAGTACTCTTCCATCCCGTAGCAACGACACTTGATAGTCGAATATTGAGATACGGAGTAAGCGGATTGGAAATTCCACTAACGCCGCATTGCTACCAATGCTTTCGCATTTTCAAGTTGCAGACTGAAAAGTCATTGGCGACGCGCACCGGGCGGTCCCTTGCAATTATGCGTTTTTGCAGTGTTTGGTGCTGTAATGAGATCGCTCGGAAACCCAGTAGCTAGAAATGTGTGACATACTGATCCTCGAATGTCAACAAGTTAATTGTCTATGGTGTACCTGAACAGGGAACATTCTCTGAAAATTTCAACCTTCCTGCTTTTCCGGCTCTTGAATTAGTTATTTTCCATCGAAAATTTCCACGGGACCTTACATGAGAACCACGCACACCAAGGGACTGAATTCGACAACTTTAATTTGAACATGTGCTGGGAACGTCCCTTGAAAACTTCAGCCTCCTAGCTTTCCAGATTCCCGAGCTAGCCATTTTTCCGCCAAAAAATTTCACGGGGCAGTGCCTGAGAACTACGCATGCCTGGAGGCTGAATCTGATAAATTTTTGTTGTATATGTGCTAGGAACACTCCCTGTAAATTTCAGTCTCTCAGCTTTCCTGGCTCCCGAGTTAGCCGTTTTCCCGCCGGAAATTTTCACGAGGCGGCACGTGAGTACCACACACACTGGGGCCTGAGTTTGATAATTTTAAGTTACACATGGCTTGGAACATTCCCTTAAAATTCCAGCCCTCCAGCTTTATTGGTGCCTGACTTAGCGGTCTTCGCGCCAGAGACCCTCACGGGGCTGTGCTCGGGAACTACGCACACCTGGGGGCTGAATTTGAAATCTTTGAGTTCTCTGTGGACGGGGGATATAACCACAAAATTTCAGCTCTCTAGCTTTTATGGTTCCCGAATTAGCGATTTTCCCGTCAGAACTTCCATCCCCTCGTACGCGAGGCCCAGACTTGCGCGAGGGTTGTTACCACGGTCCTGGGGTGGCACTTGGCCGGGGAACCCACCGGCAAAATTTTGGCGCCAGAGCTTGCTTGGGTGCCGAGTTGAAATATCCGGACAGACACACATCGGGGTCGTCACAATATGCGTTTTTATGCGTTTTTGCTGTGCAGCGCTATAGCGCTGCTACAGCCAGCAAA